AAAGAAGTAACCTCAGCTCATCGCTATGCAATCCTGGACAGCGCATACCGGACGTTGATTAGTCCAAAGGTATTCGCCTGTGAATCATGCGCAGTTAACCTGATCAACTAATCCAAATCTGAGGAGTGTCTCAGCGAACAATTTATTGTAATTATTATATTGAGTATTTTAATCCTTACAATATTCGACAAGAATGATAGATATTACTAAGAATGCTTTTAATCCATATCATTATTGTTAAATTATACTTATCCTATATTTTAAGATTTCTTTTGAATTATGAACGGCTCATTGTTGGTCAAACGTAATACTCATAGTGCGGCTCATTTTGTCAGGAAATTTTGGTGACTCTCTTGCTTTCCATCGCGGTATGCCATTCACCACTAGAGATCAAGAGAATGACGATCGGGGGGATCACAACTGCGCCATTAAGTTCAAAGGAGCCTGGTGGTACCGTTGGTGTCACCGCTCAAATCTCAATGGCTTGTATCTTCGTGGCAGTCACTCCTCTTCTGCTGATGGAGTGAACTGGAAAGACTGGAAGGGTTATCATTACTCCCTCAAGAGAACCGAGATGAAAATAAGACCAAAGGATTTCTGAACTGTCATGTTTGTGGCACAACAAACAGCACCAACTTAACAAAAAAACCGAGTGTCTCGATCAAGTATATTCAGCATTAGACAATGACTCTTAAATTGGAGCTTAGCGGAACGTTGTTCAGGGTTTTTCTTGCTTCTTTGTGCACGTTTTTCAAAATAGGAACAGTTGATACTGTGGAATCGGCCAGTTAGCTAATAATAATAATAATCATCATAATAGTCATAATGACTTAATCTATATAGCGGTGCATACAAAAAGCTTCTTATCATAGTTGGAAATTGACAGTTAATCATAAGAAGCTCTGAAAAAATGCGCTTTAATCTTTTCTCGAAAAACTGAAACCAATGGACTCAATTCAAGGTCTATGGGTGAGACATTCTACAGCCTGGGGGCAGCAGCTGAATAGACCCTGTCTCCATAACATTCTAGGTGGGTCCTTGGTATTCACAGAAGTTATTCTCGAATCTCAATGGCTTGTGTCATCATGGCCATCACGACTCCTATGCTCCTTCTATCTGAGTTATACAAGTTTTGATTCTTTAAATTTTTGACGCGTATTTTCACTTGACGGAACACAAAGCGATCACACAGCCTTCATTTTTTCAAAGTCAATATCAGAAGAGTAACCACAGTCGCTAATTCAGGTCTAGTTCCCTTTGATTTCTATAACGAAACTCCAAACAATTACCCAATGTTTTGACTCTAAAGAACGCTGTCAGAAAAACAAATATTTTAAGTTTTAGTGTACAATGTAACGTAATGTTAATGATTCTAAAGTGCTTCATATATTGCTTTTATTTGTATTTTTGCCTTGTACTGTTATTGATAAACATATTGCACATTAAATCATAAGAACATATTGCACGCTCAAGGTCCATTTTGTAGATATGGCTCATCAGGTGATTATGTTACAAACTAAGTTTGTAGAAATACCAAATGTAAGGATAAGTAGGTGAAATCTCTTTTGTTTTATTCCCCCCTAGCCTCGGAGCCATGTTAGAATCTTGATATATCAAAAGTGGCGTATTGGATCACTTGTGATCATTGGTTTGCAGGCTACAAGAGGACTCCTTACAGCTTTATTTACTTATAAATGATTAAAATCTTTGATACATAAAAAGTTTTCGTTTTAGAATCTTGATATATCAAAAGTGGCGCATGGGATCATTTGTGATCATTGGTTTGTAGGCTACAAGAGGAATCTTAACAGCTTTGTTTATTTGTAAACGATTAAAATCTTTGATACATAAAAAGTTTCGATTTTTCACAATTTGAATTCGATGGGGAACGAAATCAAGAAACCGAGACCGTTCTTTTGGCTCGTTCTGCGGCTATGGCGTCCAAAACGTGCAAGGTTTTTAATTTCGACGTGAGTTCGTCCATATCTTTAGGTGCACGCCACAGGTACTGAAGAATCTGCAGGTAGCTTTCCACCATCCACGCTTTGAAACTCATGGCTCTAGTGACAACAAGAAATTTGTTAGTGACAGGCTCAAACGATTCACCTTCGTTTCACCCTTTACACCCTAACATCAGGATGCATATTCTCCATACTGCCCTCTATACATTTCCTAAGATGATGACAGGGAGAATGTTAACAATCAAGAGCATCTTCAGTTGGTGATCATTTCCTTTATTCTCATGACCTTAATGTTTGATTCAGGGGCAATAATGTGAGGAGAAATTAGATGTTAGTCATTCTTAAGGGTCAAAGGGTTAATAATCAGCACGGATTAGTTTAGGAATGATTTTCGTTTTAAAACCGAATTCTCTACGCCAGATAACTGAATGAACAAATATATAAAGAAATAGTTAAAGAAATAACGAAAAAGATAAAAAGATAAATTAACTGAAAAGGCTTTGAAAATACTTCCACAAAAATATCAAAAATTAGCGCGGTTATAGACGTTTCGATGTCGTCCTAAACATCACCATCAAGAAAGTTAGAGTCGGAGTCGGAGTAGTGACAAATGAGTATTAGAGATAAAATAAGCACAATGTTAGCATGATTATGTGAAGAGAGGATGATTACAGCTAACTATGGACAGGGGTTTCAATGAAAGCTGGTTACCGGCGGTGTCTCTCCTCATATAAGACCTCTCAGTTACCGCCGTCTGTTTAGCCCGTTAGCAGGCTCTTGTGTTTGGGTTTGTTTAAAAACTATCAGAAGGAGGAATCGAACCTCAGACCGTCGGATTCCGTTTTCCGATGCTCTACCACTCGGAGCCACAGAGACTCGACGGTGAGCGAGGTCTATTACGGATTTATATGACACGGGGACCAATTTACATTATCTACTCAGTTGATAGAACTTAGTTATCTTGTCGTTAATAACAGTCTGTTTTAACAAGAATACAAGACCGCAAATTAGGTTTTCGCGCACGATGAGAAGTATCGTGCTACACTTATTGGAACAGTATATTAAATTTTCTGTAACACTGTATATTTTATTCTTAGTCAGGCCAATGGCTTCCCTTGCATTTTATGACCATTTTCTCCAAGTTTCTGAGCACTTTCTAGCAAGATCGCTTATGTTAGCGGAAAGATACTGAGTCAAAATGTTAAGTTTGTGATGATATCGTTAATGATTTCGGCATGTACTAACCCGAAACAACAAAACGAAAGGACCAAAACGAAACAAGGGAAACGACCAAAACAAAACGACCTTTATGACCAAAACAAAACCATTACAACGATCGAGCGGAGTGGAGGATGCAATGTCACATAAAATGTAAATTTCACTTCAGATATTCTCTCACATTTAAGGCCTTTAGATATTAATTAAGGCCGTCTCACGAAACTCTATTTTCAGCTACCGCGCGAGCAGCTGAAACTATAATTTGACGCTTTTTCAGGGTTTTAATTAATATCACTAATTTTCATGATATTATTTCTTCTTCCTGGTTGTCAAAGAAAATGAGAGTAATTTTGACAAAATTTTCCCCACGGTTAACTCCGGAGGAAAATGCGACACACTGTGTAGTTCTAAAAGTTCATATTTCCATAAATTTTCAATTTGAAAGACATAAAACCGATCATAACACTTTAATTATCTCCAGGGAAAATAGAACGACATAGTGTCATTCTAAAACTTCTTACATGTCCCGCTGAAAGTGTTTTGACCAAATAATTTGCAGCTTTATTTAAGAGTTAGACTTGCCATAAAAGTTTTTCAAAACATTCTACTGGATTTTCATCGAAGGATTTCATTGACTGTCATATCCAGTGGTACTAGGATGAGACCAGTCATTTAGATTTAAACACAGCAGCTATGATCTGATGTCTGACAACAATTAGAACAGCTGGACAGGAAGAATGACTATGGCCTAGAAAACAGCGGTTTTGTTTGGTAAACATAGTTACAGAAGCTCAAACAGTTCTATAAATTAAAGGAAAGCACGAAACCACGAAGTTTTTACTTTTGATACACCCAGGAACAAAACCAAGTGCGAAAAACACTTTTTCGCTCAGAAGGTAAGAAATATCTCTGTGAGCTACTTATCTATATATCTTAGACTAAGCCTTTCTTGCTCAGACCAATTGCGCTGATTGCAGAAATGATCGAGGAAAATTTTGTGTAAAATTCTGTCAATTCAGCCACACGATCTTTCGCATTCTGTCACATCCTTCTGGTCAAAGTTGTTACAAATTTGAAATTTTTTAGGTTGAAGCTCTCAAATACCATCCGAAAGTCATAGAATGCTTGCGACCAGTCTAACTAGGATGAAATCGGGTGATGTTTAATGCTAACTACCATGCTCAACTACTATTAGCAAAACGAGCCATAAAAAACCTAGGCGTCTGTACTTAAAGTTTTCTACAAAGTAACTCTTCATGTTAATAATGAACAATGCCGTTCTATCGTATTGGAGAATGTTTTGAGATAAAAAAGGATAAATTGTTAAAATTTTGTATTTCAGAAGTGACCTAACACCCTTGTCGGTAGCAAGTCTGCAAAAATTTGTTTCTTGCTCCTAAAGTAATTGCCGCAAGTTCAAAGTTAAACAGGCTGAAAATAAACATATTGATAAACTCCTGTCACTTCCGACAAGTGTGATGTGCTCTATTTCGTTCTTCTCTGGCAATTTTGAAAATATTATGGCTTATTAGAATAAGATGAAATTTACAAGGTAGAATAAGAATTTAAAAAAATACTCCAATGCAGACAAATTGCGCTACACCGGTCTATTATATTTTCCTCTTTTTGCGCCTTTTGCAGCTGTTAACACACTTTCGAGAATGAATATTTATTTATATATGAAGAAATTCATACTAAGTTTTCTTTGTGCAAGGGATGACACAAGCCTGTTAGCATAACAACATGTTTAAGAACAATTACATAACTGAACGAGGTATTTGTCTTCTTTTACCTTGAATTTACAATTATTTATTTATAGCGATGCAGTTCAAGTTTTCTCTCCAACCGATCATTAATATTCTCTATATCTTCCTTGGAATTATTCTCCCACCATGCTTCTGTTGCACTGGTGAGTATAAATCCCTTTTTAAATTTCTTGTGTTTTATCTTTCTGGCGTCGTTTCCTCAAAACCGTTACACGAACTACATATGCTACCTACTGATCAAAGCAAATAATCTTTAAGCAGACAATTTTTACCTAACTCAAAATGTCCACTATCATGAAGTAGAAGATACAAAAAAAGTCAAATTTCAAAAAGACCCCACCAACTGCGCATCAATGTTTCAAAATGACGAATTAAAACAAACGATTCACAGATATCGTGGTGTGGTAATGAAAGCTGTGAAAATATTCTTAATACTAATTATTTTTAATATTTCCTTTCCGCTCATTAATTCACAATCAAAGATTAATTTTTGTTAATGAAAGCCTCCCTGTTAAGTTGAATTGCAGTAAAGTTTTGAAATAAAAAGATTTTATGTGTCTTTTTCATCAATGAAAATAAAAAATTACCTCGAGTGAGTGGAAACTAAACGATATATTTGTTTGCCTACCACAGACGACGACTATCGAAACATCATATTCAAGCACCCAATACCAAACATGGCCATGAAAAATCACGCGATCAAAAGTGTATAGGTGCCCAACGAAGGAAGTTGCAGAGTAATGTGTTATATGGAGCCTAATTGTGTGTCCATCAATATTGGACCTGTTGTAGGAGGAAACCAAAAATGCGAGTTGAATAACGCCACAGAGGAAAACCATGCTCCATTTCTTCTTGTAAAAAATTCGGGTTATACATATCTTGCAATTGAGGTAACATTTCATATTCTTACGAAACTACGGTGCCAGAAGAGATTGTTTCATTTTCTTAGGCTAAAGTGATCTTATTCTTGAAATAAAGAAAATCTGCACTATAGTTTACTTTGTTTTGTCAACAGAATTCATGCAGCAGCAGCCCATGCTTAAACAATGCCATCTGTCAAGCAGGGTTTACCTATAAAGGATTTCGTTGTGTCTGTCAGGAAAAATTCACTGGAGAAACGTGCCAAGTTGAAGGTAAAATGGCAGGATTGTGTAGACCAGTCTCTCGTGTAGTGCGCGAGGAGTTACTCACTAAAGTTTCAAAATTGACTTCAAGAACAAAATATTAACCACTGAATGAAAGCTAAAAAGGAAAAGCCACGTACGGTCACTTTAAATGAATATAGCTGGTAGATATTAAGGAAGAATAAATGGTATTTGTTAATGTTCAGAATCAAAATTTATCAGCCAGAGCAACAGTCGGGAAAGCAATCAAAAAGCACTCAATATCCAAACAATTTAAAGTAGGCGTTTTGTTTTGTCTTTCGTTTTTTTTAAAACTGATTTTCAGTCAAAAGAAACTGCGCAGAAATCTACAAATCCGCGGGTAAACCAGCTGACGGTGTCTACGCCATTAAACCTGATAACTTGCCTGCCTTTGAAGTATTCTGTGACCAAACAACGGACGGTGGAGGATGGACTGTGTTCCAGAAGAGACTGGACGGCTCGGTTGATTTCTACCGCTACTGGAACGACTACAAACGTGGCTTTGGTGACCTGTGTGGTGAGTTTTGGCTCGGACTGGACAAAATTCACCGCTTGACCTCAGATAATAATAACAGGCTGCGTGTGGATTTGGAAGACTTTGAAGGAAACACAGCTTATGCTGAGTATAACTCATGGAGTGAACTGGTTTCAATGGGAGGGTTATCATCACTCCCTCAAGAGAACCGAGATGAAAATAAGACCAAAGGATTTCTGAACTATCGTGTTTGTGGCACAACAAACAGCACCAACGTAACAAAAAACCGAGTGTCTCGATCAAGTATATTCAGCATTAAACAATCACTCTTAAATTGGAGCTTAGCGGAACGTTGTTCGGGGTTTTTCTTGCTTCTTTGTGCGTGTTTTTCAAAATAGGAACAATTAATTCTGTAGAATTGGCCAGTTAACAAATAATAATAATCATCATAATAGTAATAATGACTTAATCCATATAGCGATACATATATACAAAAGCTTCTTATCCTAGTTGGAAATTGACAGTTAATCAAAAGAAGCTCTAAATAAATGCGCTTTCGTCTTTTCTCGAAAAACAGAAACCAATGGACTCAATTCAAGGTCTATGAGTGAGACATTCTACAGCCTGGGGGCAGCGGCTGAATAGACCCTGTCTCCATAACATTTTAGGTGGGTCCTAGGTATTCACAAAAGTTATTCTCGAATCTCAATGGCTTGTGTCATCATGGCCATCACGACTCCTATGCTCCTTCTATCTGGGTTATACAAGTTTTGATTCACAACACTTTTAACACAAAGCCATCACACAGACTTCATTTCTTCAAAGTCAATATCAGAAGAGTAGCAACAGTCGCTAATTCAGTTCTAGTTCCCTTTGATTTCTATAACGAAACTCCAAACAATTACCCAATGTTTTTACTCTAAATAACGCTATCAGAAAAACAAATATTTCAAGTTTTAGTGTACAATGTAACGTAATGTTGATGATTCTAAAATTCTTCATATATTGCTTTTATTTATATTTTCTTAGGGAGGAGGGGGGGTAAGGGAGGAGGGGGGGTAAGGGAGGAGGGGGGTTGGATCCTAATCAAGGGCTCCGATATTTTTCCCTATCCAACGTCCACGACTAATAAAGCTGCGCAACAATTTTAGGATTTGCTTTTCGGGTTGTTAAATTTAAGGAAATCTACAAATTATGACAGTTTGCTACAGTAAAAATACATCAAATAGTCAACAAAAGAAATTAAAAATAAGTGAACTTGGCTTTGCTAAAGAATGGTGCCATTTTCAGGAAAACGTGCAAAAAAATCTGCGGCAAGAATAAGTTATTTCGAAGTGAAATAACACTATCCACACCTGAACACAAGCAGCATGCTCCGTGGAAGCTGTTTAAGAATGATTATCACATTCTCGAAGTGTCCTTGAGCGAGTTTTGTCATGATTGTCAAATCCTCTTCTGTTACTCTTGAAGTAAACAGCATTCCAGCGCTACCCCACGCGAACGGACGTTGAAGAAGAATCTGACAAAAATTCTCGAAATCTGGAAAATAAAACTAAATTAACCTTAAATGACCTTAATGTTTGATTCAGGTGCAATAATGTGAGGAGAAACTAGATGATAGTCATTCTTAAGGGTCAAAGGGTTAATAATCAGCACGGATTAGTTTAGGAACGATTTTAGAGTCGGAGTCGGAGTCGGAGTCGGAGTCGGAGTAGTGACAAATGAGTATTAGAGATAAAATGAGCACAATGTTAGCATGATTATGTGAAGAGGGGATGATTACAGCTAACCATGGACAGAGGTTTCAATGAAAGCTGGTTACCGGCGGTGTCTCTCCTCAAATAAGACCTGTTACCGCCGTCTTTTTAGCCTGAGAGCAGGCTCTGGTGTTTGGGTTTGTTTAGAAACTATCAGAAGGAGGAATCGAACCTCAGACCTTCGGATTCCGTTTCCCGATGCTGTACCGCTGAGCTTAGAAAAAACTTAGGCCTCTGTACTTAAAGTTGCTACAAAGTAACTCTTCATGTTAATAATGTGCAATGCCGTTCTATCGTACTGGATAATGTTTTGCGATAAAAAAGGATAAATTGTTAAAATTTTGTATTTCAGAAGTGACCTAACACCCTTGTCGGTAGCAAGTCTGCAAAAATTTGTTTCTTGCTCTTAACGTAATTGCCGCAAGTACAAAGTTAAACAGGCTGAAAATAAACATATTGATAAACTCCTGTCACTCTGATAAGTGTGATGTGCTCTATTTTGTTCTTCTCTGGTACTTTTGAAAATATTATGGCTTATTAGAATAAGATGAAATTAACAGTAACAGTTCACATTCTTACGAAACTACGGTGGTAGAAGATATTGTTTCATTTTCTTAGACTAAAGTGATCTTATTATTGACATTAGGAAGATCTGCACAAAAGTTTACTTCGTTTTGTCAACAGAATCCATGTAGCAGCAGCCCATGCTTAAACAAGGGCACCTGTCAAGCTGGATTCACCAATAAAGGTTTTCGTTGTGTCTGTCGGGAAAGATTCACCGGAGAAACCTGCCAAGTTGAAGGTGAAATGGCTGCATTATGTGGGCCATTCTCTCGTGTAGTATGCAAGGAGTTATTAACTCAATTCCCAAACTTAACTTCCAGAACAAAATATTAACCACTGAAGTAAAGCTAAAAAGGAAAAGCCTATTAATGAAACTTTAAATGAATGTAGCTGGTAGATATTAAGGAAAAAGGAAATGGTACTAGTTTACTACTAATGTTCAGAATAAATAGTCAGGAGAGCAAACGAAAAGCGTCAACATCTAAACAAATTAAAGTGGGAGTTTTGTGTTGCTTTTTGTTTTTAATAATATTCAGTCAAGAGAAACTGCGCAGAAATCTACGAATCCGCAGATAAAACTACTGACGGCGTGTACACCATTAAACCTGATAATTTGCCTGCCTTTGATGTATTCTGTGACCAAACAGCGGAGGATGGAGGATGGACTGTGTTCCAGAAGAGACTGGACGGCTCGGTTGATTTCTACCGCTACTGGAACGACTACAAATGTGGCTTTGGTGACCTCACAAGTGAATTTTGGATGGGACTGGACAAGATTCACCGCCTGACCTAAAATGATAGCAACATGCTGCGTGTGGATTTGGAAGACTTTGAAGGAAACACAACTTATGCCGAGTATAACACGTTTGACGTCAAGAGTGAGAATGACAAGTACAGACTGGTTCGCGGTTCCTATTCAGGTATAACGGTATTTTCCTTTTTATTATTACGGGGGAGGGGAGCGTAAATTAGAGTAAAGAAGCTTCAATTCTTTTACAACAATGGCTTCCAAAGATGGAAAAAATGATAAACTAAGCCCATCGAAATGCAATAATCCTAGACAGTGCAGACCAGACGTTGATTAAATCTGAAAGTGTTCGCCGATGGATCTTGTCCTGTTAGCCCGACGGAACAATTCAAGTCTGATAATTATAAATCTATTAGCAATATCAAGCTAGCGATTTCATTTCACAGGGATGTTTGATAAAGATTATGTAATTTTTTTATTTTATTGACTTTGTATTACCGTTAATTCCAATTTTTTTTAGGAAACGCTAGTTCCTCTCTCCCTCATGATCGGCCATTCACCACTAGCGATCACGATAATGATCATCACAGAAACCGTAACTGCGCCATTGCGTTCAAAGGAGCCTGGTGGTACAGCGCGTGCCATGCGTCAAATCTCAATGGCTTGTATCTTCGTGGCAATCACTCTTCCTATGCTGATGGTGTGAACTGGAAAGGCTGGAAAGGTTATCATTACTCCCTCGAGAGAACCGAGATGAAAATAAGACCAGTGAATTTCTGAACTGTCATATTTATGTCATAATTTTGATTAAGAACCTACTTAGCAAAAAACGAGTGATTTGATCAAGTCTGTTGAGCGCTAAAAAAAAACATTGATGGGTTTGCCAGTTTAGTGAACGTTCGTTGAACTTCCTAAGGTTGTATATATTGTTTTTCTTTTTGTTTCGTTTTGGGTTTCATCTCGTAATTTTTTTCTGTTGAGGGATGGATATATCCCCCTTGCTATACGTTTTAAAAAACGTAGAAGGCTTGTCTCATATTATCACCAGCTTCTCGAAACATTAAACGATTTAGTACACAGGTGTTATTCTTTCAAAGAGACTTTATGAAGAGTAAGTGACCCGTCATTATTTATCACGGGGTGGGGAAGGGGGGAGGGGGATCGAGGGTTCTTGGTTGTGCCTATTCTCCCCTAAGGTCCTGTAGTATTCGAAGATTCCCTTCCTTTGCAATCAATGTTCTATAATTTCCACTTATTGCATGATTACGCTCGATTTGTCTTTAACGACTACTCGCGTTATAGCCACGTTACACCTATGATACAAAGTCTTGGCTGGGATTCACTCCATCACCGAAGACTTCTTTCACAAGGCATTATGTTTTATAAAATCTATATGGGCCACGTTGGCATATCACTCCCATCTGATGTCACACCAAATGAAAGACCATCAAGAGCTCCAAACTGTCGTCCTTTCAAACAATTGAAAGTGAATAATGATATATATAAATACTCTTTTTATCCAAGGACAGTAGTTTTGTGGAACAATATATCTCTAAGCTCTTCTAAAATTGTTAATATAGATATATTTAGATCAAATGCTCTTTCATTTATTAGGTCGGTTTAGCCCATACTAATTTTATCTTTACGCTATTATATTATTTTGTTTTATCCAAGCTTTGTTTTTCTTACATTGTTAAATCTTAAACTGTATAAAAATTATTTAATTTTATTGTTTGTAATTAGTCCTTCTGGTATAGTTATTACTGTTTCAGGAGTATCTCGATTTAAGATTACCTACGATTACGTATCTCACTGTTATTCATGAATACTAAACGTCACTTTCGTAGGAAAAGGGCTCATAAAGTGCATTATGCTACATTACTTCGTTAAAATACATAATGTCAGAATGAGTTTTCTCGAACAGAAAAAAAATCAAACGTATTCTTATTTTGTTTCTCTCAACTCTGTGTTTAAAGATGCAACCATATTTATAGTTAATTGAACATTTCATATTTCAGCTAAAAAATTGCTCACGTACTGACTTTGATCTTCCAATTACCAAGCTAAGTTATTTGCAACTTTGTGAAAGAGTTTGATTCTCCACATTTTTCAAAGGCCTCTTGTGCGACGGTAATTCAATGACTTCAAATTATTGGATCACAAAGTTAAAACTAGTCTAGCACATAAAAAAGAGAAAATTTGTGAGCTGGAAAACTTCCCTAAAATTTGAACAGCTGCAAACAGCAAGAAGGGCGGTGGCGTTTGTGTTCATCGCTTATAAAGCGGCGGTTTTCTTCTGTAGTCATAGCTACAGCACTTACACACCTGTTTTTTTGACAATAAAATTAATAGAGTAGATTAAAAAATTTCATGTGCTCCAGTGCAGACGAATTCTATTAAAATGATTGATTTTTTCCACTAAATGTGCCTTTTTAGCCAGTAACTCATCTGGAGAGATAAAACTTTAGTATGGAGAAATTCCACCTGATTCCACCACATTCTCCAAGGAATGAAATAAACCCATTAGCAGGACGGCGTCAATGCTACCAATAACATAATTGAGGGAATTACTTGCTTGCGACTGAGTACCACGATAATTAGGACAAAGGTCAAACATAAATACTGAAGACCTACCTGTTACTGAATTTGAGAGGGAAAAAGGTATTTCAGCTATTATGGAGAGCAGTTTTTTATCAATGTGGTCAATTCATAGTTTTCAATTATAGCGACACAGTTCAAGCTTTTCCTTGAAGCTGTCAATGGGGATCTCTAGATTTTTTTCAGAAACTATTCCCCCACTATGTTTTTTTCGTACTAGTGTTTATGATTCGCCATTAAATTCTTTTTTCTGTCTTCGCGTTCGATTTTTCTGGCGACTTTCCCTCGAAACCAGCATTAAACGAACTTAATAAGCCACCAATTAAAAAAGCAAATCATTTTAAAATTTAGCAAACACGATATTAAACTAGAAATATTAATGTTTTCTATAGTCAAACTTGACACTAGTTTCTACTGGGTTTGTGTTCCAACAATTATCATCCACATCTAATCATTTGTGGCTTTTTCATAGAGTTTGACTTTCTGGCATTTTGCAAAAACCCTCTACCGGACTATCAAAAGCATAAAAGACCAAAACCATGAGCTGATGAATATCAACAATTTGAACGACCGATTCGGAGGAAAAACTAAAGCGCCTCTGTTCATCTCTTATTCAACGTTTCCTGTTTTGTAACCATGGTTACAGTACTTCAAATAGTTTTATTTATGATAGCACGACACTACTTTCAGCCACCGATATTTTCTGGAGTACTTAAGACCTTCACTTTAATCTGATAAAAAAAGATCCCATATACTGTATTTTCGTGGTATAAATGTTTGGAACAATGACCATATCCTTTGACAGCCGATTTCCATATAATTATAGTCGTTTGAAGATTTTTCCGACGGCTCTGACATTTGGCTTGTTTTGAAATACAACTTATTACTAAATAAACCCCTTCGGGCGGCTGGTAAATCGGCTGGTAATGTCCTCGGCTGAGATATTGTCCAAAATTAGGGATGCTTGGCCGAGAAGCAGAGCCTCGAGGGAAAATGTGAAGTTTTGAGGACAATCTGTAATTTTTAACGTACGGACGATACGTTACAAATTTATTTGTATAGATTATTTATTTCTTTTATGTCACGCGAGATCGCTCGCTCTGATGGCGGATGCGTAATTGCGAGCAGGTTTTTAACATTTTACTGGAGTCTACACATAGAATTTGTTTTCTTCCGTGTAAGATAATTGAGAAAAATACCGGGGTTATAGCGTGGTAACTGTCCGGGTTTAACATTTCTCTTGAGACTCGGGGGAGGGCTGATATATCAGCTGATAATGTCCAAAATTTGGCCGAGAAGCAAAGCCTCGGGGGAAAATGTGAAGTTTTTGTGGACAGTCTTTCAGCCAAGGACATTATCAGCCGAAATACCATCAAGCCAGAAAGGGGTTTATTTATTTTATAACGTACCCTCTTATTAATTTTCATATGATCCGAAACCGCTCGTAGAAAGCAAGTGCTTGTCTGATGCGGATGCGTAGTTGCGACCAGCTTTTGAATATTTTACTACACTTTACAAAAAGAGTTTTTTTCTTCCGTGTAAGATAACTGAGTTGGCTCTCTTCCACTAACCTTTTTTTTTTTCGTCGTGGTAATTGTCTGGTGATTTTGCACCACGTCATGTAAAGTAGCGATTAAAATGACGCGAGAATGAATGGGTGGATTACAACGATATAGGTTTGAATAACATTTCGCTCGAGACTGTCTCGCTTGTTTGGGTTCCTACAATTACTGACCATATTTCATAATTTCAAGCTTTGTGTAAGAGTTAGACTCGCTGACTTTTTCAAAAATCCTTCTGGTCTTTCATAGAGGTATTTCGTTGACTATTATACTTGTCCAATGTTACTTAGAGAAAACCAACCACCCAGAGTTAACAGAAAAGCAATGATCCGATGACTGAAAATAGGTAGAACAGCTGAACAGGAAGAAGACCTGAGGCGTTTATGTTAACCACGCACTAAACCGTTCTGTTTTGTAACCATAGTTACAGCACCTTAAACACTTCTCTAGAGGGTAGCAAAAAAGATTTCACTCCTGACACATCCGAACACAGTATCGAGTACGACAAGCATTTTGTCTGTCAGATGGTAAGAAAAATATTTGTGCGTTACTTATGGATATTTAGCTCAAATAAATTGCACTTGAATCTGTTGCAGCAAGTTAAAAGACAAACAAGTTTAAGCTAAAAACCGTAAACTCCGTTCATTAGAGTGATGTGTTCAGTCTTCGTCTGTACCGATGCTTTAGAAAAGATTATGGCTTATTAAATGGTAAAAGTAGAAATAGCTAAGAAATAAATGCTGAACAATTGCATAGCCTTTATGAGCATTTAAATTTATAAAGAAACAGAAAGTTTTATAATTTGTGACGACTTTAAATGCTCACGATCATGATTCTTACCTTGGAGTTATAATTTTTAATTCATAGCGATGCAGTTCAAGTCTTTCCTTGAAGCTATCATCGGCAATATCTATATTCTTCTTGGAATAACCCTCCCACCGTGTTTTTGTTGCACTGGTGAGTATAACTACACTATTATTAAATTTCTTGAGTTTCATTTTTCTGGCGCTGCTCCCTCGAATCTATTAGAAGAACTAGGCCACCAGCGAACAATGCAAACAATCTTTAAGCAAATACTTATTTTTCTAACTCAAAATGTCTCCTTTACAATCTATAAATCTCCTTTTCCTTCACCCTATTTGAAAAAAGCCCTCAATTAATTTCGTGGTAATTAACGCCATGAAAATTATTATTTTTCAGATTTTTTTTTCGTAACATACACCCTTTACACTGGTTAGCTCATCTACATAGCTCTGTTTTAATAATTAAAACCTCCTGTTAGAATTGAAGTATAAAAAGATGAAAATATCCTATAAAGGTTTTCATGCAGTAAGTTGGCAAAATAGCGTGCTTTAATGTGTTACTTTACCAATTGACAATAAGAAATTTTGTACGAGTAAGCGATAACTGGACGAGTAATTCCATTCGTTTTGCTTTCTCTAGGTGACGATTGTCGAAACATTATATTTAGGGACCCAATACAAAACATGGCCATGAAGGATCGTGTGATCTGGAGTGCAGAGGTGCCCAATGAGGGAAGCTGCAGAGTGATGTGTTATATGGAGCCTGACTGTGTGTCCATTAATGTTGGACCTGTAGAAGGAGGAGACCAAAAATGCG